ACTGGTCACGTAATTCCAGGTGATGCTTTTTTTTTTAAAAAAAGGTTCTGTTCTAGCATTCCCACTTCAAGCAGGGACCAGCATTGCTGGTTTTTTACCAGAGCAAACGTTTTTGGTTTTATTTGTGATACAAGAAATGTCTTTTTCTAAATATGTGACCTTAGTTTCTTTCTTAACTCCATGTTTTAAAGGTTCTTGAATTGTTCACTGTGTCAACTGATTAAATTTCAAAACCCTTCTACGTACACATGAATTGTGTTTTCCCTACGAGTTTTTCATCCAGTGTATTCTAGGATTTAGCTCCTGGCTTTTTTCCTAGTGAAGACACCAAGGTACTTGAGAGCATCCACACCCCTTTGTTTCATGTCTTGTCAGCCGGTCCGTGGCTGGAGTACCAAAGCAGCACAGAACAAAAGTCCCTTGGGAAGTCTTTAGGCATCCCAGGCCCTGGAACGCGTGATGGCTTGGAAGGAGCACGTTACACTTATTGCTGAAGCGGTGTTGGCTGCCCCGGAGTGAATTACACCCTTGGCATCTCTCTGGGTCACAGGTAAGTGCACACCGCCGTGGCAATGACGGGTAGTGTCAAGGGGAAAGCGAGACATCTGTAGCTGCCGAGTGCAGAACTGATCTCCATGGGGCATCCAGGGACAGCTAAGTGCCACCTGCAGCGGGAGGAGCAGCCCGAAAGGCGGCAGCGGGCTTTGGGAGAGTGTCCTGGCTCGCAGGTATCCGTGTCTCCTACATGAGCGCAACCTTCATCCGTGTTACAAAAATGAGCAGTTTCAAACTCGTCCCTAATCCAAGAGGTTCACAGCAGAAATAAATATTGAAGCGTGCCGATTGAAGGGCTTTGCTCCGACAGAGCCGAGACACGCATCTTCCTGCAGAAGGGGAACCTTTATTCCACAAACACCGAGTGTCATTAACGCTTCCTGCGAAGGGCGTAACAAATTGACGGTGTTCTTTTCACACAGTGCTTGTAAAACAGGAATTCCTGAGCTCCGACGGGAAGATGCAGGTGAATCAGTCCTTATGTGTTGCCCTTCAACTGCAGGGAAGGAGGAAGCCGAGCGTGCCCATTTACCTCAACCCCTGTCCTCGGAAAGCACCGCAGAGCTCACGCTGGGAGGTTTTCCTAGTCAGATGCTAATGCTGCTGGCAAGGGAGAGCGAGCTCGTCCCGACTGCAGCAGTCTGAAGATCACTCATTTGGAAAAATCCCTTCTAATGATTAAGAGGCAGGAAGGGGAGTTAGACACGCGAATCTGGGACTCCTCCGGAATTTCAGATGCAGATGCGTGGGTGTCGGTGTGGTGGCTGAGCCCCTCCCGGGGGGCCAGCTGTGCTGGGCAGAGGAGGAAAAGGTACCGACGTGGCTCGGGATGCGCGGGCTGTGGAGCCCTGTCCCAGCCCTGCTGTGCTGGGAGAAGGGCTCAGCTGGGGGTTAAAGCTGGAGTGCAGCCTCTCTTGGCACAAAGGAGAGGCTGTGACTGTGGGAAAGGGCTCCGATGGGAATAGTCTGCTGTGAGCTCTGCACGTGCTGCTGTGTTTTAAATCCTGTGTGTGTACTGGGGTGCCATTTGTCATCCCCAAAACTGACTTGGCTTCCCTTAATCCTCTGAAACTAGAGCAGCTGATGCAGCATCAAGGAGGGTGGTAGGGAGCTGGAGCCCTGTGTCCTTCCCCAGCCGTCAGCGCGGTGGTACCAGAGCACCGCACAGCGCAGTGACATACCCTGCCTGCGGTCATCTCGCCACCTCCACGGAGGTCAAATGTGCGGAGGAGCTTTCCGAGCTCCTTGTTTTCCCCCTTTCCGACAGGAAGAAAAAGGAAGTCTTGTGCAGCCAAGCAGGGAGGTTAAAGGGGTCTACAATATCCCCAAGTTCCCTTGGGAATCCATTCCGGCTGCCTTATAGAATCATAGAATCTAATAGGGTACCACTGCTTGGACAAGTGCAAGAAGTGCTTTCATTAGGGAAAATTATTTCTACACAACTGTTAGCTTCTTTGGTGCTACTACAGGCTTTGCAACTACCTTCTTGTGTCTTGCCATCCCTGCAAACAAGCTCCCGCTGCTGCAAAGCACTTGTCTTAGTGGGGTGAAGTTCTCCGATGGCAGCTCCATCCCAGAGAGCGAGCGCGAGGCGCTGGGTGAGTGAGCCGGGCTTCAGGTTGCTGGCTGCGGAGGGATGAGCAGCCGGGCAGTGACCACAGCAGTGCCTCGCCGGTGGTCGAGCCGGGCGGGAGGGGGCCAAGAGCCAAAGCTGCCGTTCAGCGTTGGGTAAAGCTGAAGCAGAAATCGCTCCCTCCAGGAGCATCTCCAGCAGTTTGCCTGGCCGGGCGGCGAGACTGCTGCGGCGTCTCGTAGCTCTCCTCCAGCTCGCTTCTCACTGGCGCGCTGACTTACGCAGAGCTCAAGCTGTGCAACTCATTAAGAACGCATCCCGGTCGTTAAAAATGTCCCAGACAGCAGCTTTGCTCCAGCTCCTTGTGTTAACGTTGCACCCGAGAAATTTGGTGTTTGCCTGGGACGGCACGCAGTCGAGTCCTGCGGGGCTTGGTTTTATTGGAATAAAGCAGCCGATGGCTCTCGCGTGGAATCTGAGGACGTTGTCTAACGTGAGATACTTCTAAATGCAGCTGAAAGCTGTACTTGGCTGTCCCGTTTGGGGGAAAACTCCTCGATGGGAGATCTCAGGGCTGATACCCCTGAACGCGCTGTGGAGCTGGGCTGGCGGCAGATTGGATCGTTCGTTAATTGGCCTGACTTTGCGGTGCTGATGCCGCTTCGCGTTATCCGAGTGCTTTACGCGTTTAGCCCTACGCTGCCTGCGCGACAGGGAAACTGTTACCCCACCTGGATGGTGTTTTACCTCTGGCTGTGCAAGGTGTTGTAGCTGGCTCTCTGGAGCACAGGCCGCCTTCCCGGGAAAGAAAAACATAAATTTATGGAGATGAGTATTGATGTTAAACTGCAAAATAACCTGCGTGTAGCGGTACCACCCTGCGTGGCAGAAGGAGGTGGTGGCAGCCTCTGGAAAACAGTGGTTTGAGTGCTAGGAGGGATGAGGCGCGGCAGAGACCCCGTAAACGTAGCAAAACCCAGGGCAAGGCGCTTGTGAAACGCGGGGCTGCAGCAGCCGCCGCCATCCCCCAGCTCAGGGAGAGCTTGTAACAGTTTGTAAAGCTTATTCCAAGGAAAACGGGTGCGATTCCCGAGCCGAAAGTGGAGCGTTTGTAAAGCTTATTCCAAGGAAAATGGGTGCGATTTCTGTGAGCCAAAAGTGGAGCCGCAGGGGGGTGCAGCTCTCCTCCTCCTGCGGGTCCCGGGGACGCGTGGGTGAAGGTATCCGACCCGCAGGAGCACGCCACGCCGTGTCGCGTGAAACCCTCGCCCGTGCCCACCGGGGAGAGCGGCTGGGGCACAAAGTGTGGGGTTACGAGAGGAGTTCTTGCAATTACGGGTAATTGTGAAATGATTCAGCGTAGGTTACCACTGCAAGTCTGGAGGATAACCTACAGGAAGGCAGCCATCCAGTTCTAGAGTTCTGCCTCTGGAATGAATGTCTCATATTCTGGTGATTGTGGAGCTCTTGCATTTATTCTTGCAGTTCTAGAACTATTTCACCTTATTCTTGCCATCCTAGTGCTTTTTAACGCATTATCCTTGCAGTTCTAGAATGGTTTGCCTGTATTCTTGCCATTCTAGAATGAGTTATCCCTGCAAATCTAGAATAAACTCACTTTTCCAACCCTGGAATGAGCTTATTCTTGCCATTCTAGAACGATTTTATTGTTTTTCTGAATTATCCTGTATTCTTGCAAATCTAGGGCCAACTTCTTACCGTATTCTTGCAATTCCACGTCTCCCTGCCACGCAGTATTACTGCAATTCCAGAATGAACTTATTTTTGCCGTTCTAGAATTATTTTGTTGCTCGTGACCACCTACAATTACTGTGGGTATTACTCTGGCAAACCTTGTAATAAATGTGGATTATTAATTTGCTGGTTAAGCAAGGCATGTACATAATGAGAGTGGAAAATACAATGTAGCTCTTCGTAACATGGTGCTTCTAAAACTTTATTGTGCTTTGTTCTTTGTGACCTCACTAACAAGAATCCCTGTGAGTTCAACTAAAGATAACAGGTTTGCAGCTGCAGCT